CAAGCAAATCAAAATGTTGCGTGGAGAAGAACTGATTGTTGTTTATAGTTGTTCTTCTTCTTCTGTTTTGTGTTGGTTGGCAAGCAACTTCCCGAGAGGCATTACCGCCAACTACTGGAATGGACTGTGAATCGCGATGTGCAGCCAGACGGAGATGACACGTTCTGCTAATGCGCTCTTGTTATCAGAGAACAGAGCCAGGAAAAAACCGAGCCGAGCCCACCTCTGGAACTGGTCTGCAGTTAGCGCTGTCCGGTTGTGTCTAGCTCGGTTCAGTTCAGTTTGCTTTCCATTTACACACGATAAGTTATCTCAGTTACTGAGCTCGGACCGGTATCTGCACGGTTTTTCAAGGGTAGTGTAAATGGGGTATATAGCTCAATATGAATTCAGCCACCAACTGGAGTCAAACACATATGGAGGAAGTCCTTCTTAATTAAAGCAGAAAAGGACGCATAGCTATAAACTGCTAATAAACTATAACGCTATCTGTCTCAGAGACCTACAGCTAGTTTGGGTGTCTAACCAATCCACAATAACGGCAATCAGTATCAGCTGTACCACAAAGCTGGTTATTAACTTGTTAACTCAATCCAGCTTTAACTGATCATGACCTGTGGACACACACATATAAAGGGGTTCATGGTAGCAGACGGGAACGCAGATTCATGAACGCAGAATGTAGAGCACCTTATTTCTCCAGTGACGAACAAAACCCTCTTACAGAAATACAAAGAGGAAACAAAATTCTCAGTGAAAAGGGAAAGATTTGCCAAACGACATGGTAAAGGATTGCTGAATGCATAAATGCGCTAGTAGCACATCAAAGACTTTAACCTGCATCCCAATGCCTGTCCTGCATATTAAGCGCATGACCCTTAGAATTGAAGAGAACTTTGGAAAAGATAAAAATGAAACGCTTGACAATTTGTCAAGGAAATATTTAGTTTTAACTTCTTTATAGTTTTCAAGTTCTTTTATTGTGATGTTGGGTCTTAACCCAAAGGTCATTGTTTCCAGAACAGCTGATTGGCATTTGGCAACTGTGGCTATTGTGATATGTATTTATATATATATATATGTGTTTGTGTGTGTAATAGATACTGCTATTCTAGTCAGGTGAAGTCATACATGACAATTTAACAAATACCAGTTGATGCCAACTTCCCAGGGAGAGCAGGTTAAATAGAAAATATCATGTACATTATTGGAACAAACATAACAAAATCAGGTGCTTCACTGCAGGGCTTGGTGGCTCACTGTGTTGGCATATTCAAAGTCATGTTTTTTCACTGTTGCAGTCACCATATGCCACTTCAATTGAAAGCAGTGGGAGACTTTGAAGTGACATGATCCATCTCAAAGTGAAAATATGTTTTGGAAGTGTTACAGTTGTGCAATCTCTGCTGCTCCTCTTGCATCTCCTTGCAAAAGAGACAGCTTAGTAAACACACATCTTACTAAAACACTTTACTTTGGCTGCTCTTTGAATTCCTTATTATCTATAATTTTACCCAATAAGGAAGAGTCTTGATAACAGATCTGGCATGTTTTGATGTCAAAGCACATGTTGCATTAGCTGTGAGTTTCTTGTTCATATGTATATAATTATAAGCTGTTTAAAAGATTCAAACTCTAATGGTAGCTGCTGTTCGGAAAGCTGTGTTGCCCAGAGTTTCTATTGCCCCCTCAGCTAGCTTCTGATCGACAGCCAGAGCCCTGAGGTCAGTCTCCAACAAATAATTTATTCAGTCTATGTGCTATCATCGCAGTCTGCCAAAATCAGCACTTGCTGCGCCTTGTGTGGGTGTGTTTGATGTAGTTAATGTATGCTTTTACGCCCACCATAAGCATCTCCCTGCTTTGCCAATACTGTATGAATAGACGGGAATGAATTGAATTACTGTAGTGGGAGAGTGCCTTAGGGTTCAGGGTAGGGGGGGGATGCGGTGGCCAAATGCTGCGCAGTTTGTCGCAAAGGACTCCGTTGTTCTGACAGCCAGAGCAAAGGGCAGAAAAAAAGATCTTTCACATGAACAAAGACATGCAGGCATGAAAGAAGGAGGTGAGCAGGTTGGAGGGATCCTCACAAAGCATGATGTCAGGACCTCTGCCCGATGACAGACAGAAAGACCAAATGAAACACTACAACATCTATGTCACCCACTCAACCTTGTGTTCTCACCTCCATTCTCTAGCTTGTGTTTGTGATGTAAATAAATCAGAGCATCCTTGAACAGGCACTGATTGATCTCTTGCCAGAAGTAGAAATTAGGAACAGCTTGTTTATTCTTTTTCTGTGAACTTTTAAGAGATCTTTTTTGTGCTTCTGCCTTATTCTCACAAAGTAACTGGAGGCAATGTAAAGGTTAGGAAAAGTTGTTCACATCCCAAAATAAGTAAAAAAAAAAATAAAAATTGAAAAGATTAAAGTCACTCACCCCTCTGAGAATTGCCTAACCTAACATGTTCTAATTAATTTATAAAAACTCTACAACGACGCTGATCAATAGATTAAAATATGCTTGGTTTCTGATTTGTTAATAAAAATAGAAAATAAAATGAAATCCGATAACTTCAAAACCATTGTCTAATAAATATCAAATCAACCTGAATATCCAAAGAATTAGAACATCTGCCGACAAAACGGAGATGTTAAAGTTGAAAATAGTCTAGAATTTTAAAATGAAAGTTGTTTTAGAACCCTTTTAGACAGAGGAGACTCTCAAACCAAAGAACCAACTATCAAGCATGGCTTTTGCAGCATCACTGCCACCTGTAAAAATGCATTGTATAAATAATGAGGTAGGAGAACTGCCTCTAAAGCATCATCTTAACTTCAAATCATACACTAGCCAGTGTAATCCAGGGCAAAGTTGGAGAGTCCAATCTCAAATTGTTCTAAAACATTCGATAGCTGTCATTCAAATTAATAGAATCCAGAGTTCTTACCCTAACCCTTCTGGTTGGTAGAAGAATCATTTGTCATACTCTTAGAGTTTAAAACTGGATGATTCAATCGATGGGTCAGGCATCTCTTTAGGGGGAATTTGAAAATGCAGGCTCAATTTTCCTACCTAAATTGAGGATTTCTGAGATTTGGAAAGTTTATTAGCTGCCTGATGTTCAAATCACAATGCAAATTTAGTGTTCTGTAAATCAGCAAAGAACGACAGTTTCATCCTTTATCAATTTGACAACTGTTTCTGTGCAGGAGAGGAAGTGTCTTTTTTTATGTTTTCAAAGCTTTGCTCTCGTCTTCACATGTAAAGCTGTGACCACCATTTCTTTTTTTCTTCTTTATCCCTGGAAGCATTATATAGGATGCTAAAAAAGGCTCATTATTTCTTCTGTTTTCTCCATCTTTGTATCTTACTATGATTCCTATAATTCTCTGCTCTGCCACCGTTTCATCATCGACTTTTCCCTTCAGCTTTGTCTTTTCTGCTACTGATTTTGTGTTTAGACCAACAGTGAAATAATTCATAAAGCATGCCTGTAAAGCTTCTTCTCTCCTTTTTAAGTTTATGATTTTATTGGAAAAAACACTGTAATTTTGAAACAAGCCAGAGGGAATAATAGTCTAACAAGGCATTCATGAAATTCCACTTTAGCCATTTGATTTAAGTTTGTTTTTGTTTTTCTTAGCTATTAATTCAGTTATTGATTATTTTATTTCTATGTAAAAAAAAAGAAAAGAAAAAAAGGTTTTTACACGTAGCTTTCCTTACCTAATTTATTATTATCTCCAAAATTCCTCACTAGCAAAGGATTTGTACCAGTTTTCAATTTTGTAATGCAAATTAAAATAGATTTATACCTAACCACATAATTTTACAGAAATTACTGACGTAAGCTGTAATGGACTGATTGTTAATTTGTAATTCATCACAAACAAATATTTAGTTTTTGTTTATTTTTCTCTATTTTTCCAAGAAGGGTAAAATATGCAGCCAGTTAATATCAAAAACTTGTTGAAAAAAGTTAGTGGTCTACGTATTCTTTGTGAATGGATGCCTTACTTAGTACTATCAGAATTGTATGTCTGTATTTCAACATGAATTTTGCTAAATTAAGGTTGTTAATTTGACAACTAGTTAAAACTTGGTTAACCTTCAATTACTTTAGTATCAGTTAAGTCAAATCTCTCTAAATTAACACATTATGTTTAAAGATGTTTAATATGCATCAAGAAAAAATAAATGTTTGGCAAATAAAACGATTTTCACATTTTCTATTAGACTTATTATTGTTGTTGTTGTTTTTTACCTTTGTTTACAGATTATAATATTATGTGCTATATTATATATTATTCTGGCTGTTTGATTTGTTTATTTGAAGGAAGAAGTATTACACTCGACAATCATCATCTAAAGAATACTATATATATATATATATATATATATATATATATATATATATATATATATATATATATATTTATAGTATGAAATTGTGTTATCAAACTGGTCCTATAGTCACTCTATTACAGATGGAGTAAGGTAATGGAAGTAATTTTTCCCTGGGATTATTAAAGTATTTCTGATTCTGATTCCCGGCTGATAGGACAGGTGTTGTGAATGAAATGGTGCCTAGCTTGAAAGAGCTCTTGTGTGTCGCTGAATGTGAGCATTGATGACTGAAAGACATCTTCTGCCTCCATTTATTACTTTACTTCAGTGGGTTGAAATCATGTTAATGTCTATTTAAAGACATTTCAATTAGTGGAAAAAATTGCAGAGAGGGATATAAAAGAAAGTCTAATCAACCAAAACTTTCGTGACCCCCCATGTTGTTTCTTCTAGGGGTCGCGGACCCCCTGTTGAAGACCTCTGTTCTATACCTTTGATTTGAATGTTTTTCTGTGCTTTGTGTGACTTAATATTCAGGTTCTTCAGTTGAGCCACTTTTTAAGTTTTCTCTTGCTAAAAGGACATCTAACGCAGAATAAATGTCTTCAATGTAATAGTCTTTAATGATCTTTATTTGTGCCTCCGTAGAGTCCATGTAAGGAGGACGGATAAAGTGGGAACAGAGGCAGCCTTCCACCCAATAGAGGAGTACATGATGCACGTGGAGGAACAGTTCCAGCTTTTAGCTAGACGTACAACTCTAGACAAGAAGCGCGTTTATTTGGCCACCGACGATCCCTCTCTGCTGCAAGAAGCTAAGACCAAGTAAGTATGTTTGCATGTTTCCAGCTGGTGGTTTTTTCTTTTCTTTTCTTTTTTTTTTTTAAGATAACCTTTGGGAATTCCTTTTATGAAAACAAAAAAAAGCCAAGCCCTTTTTGAAGATATGATTTTCTCACTTGATTAATTGTGGCCCAAGTGAGATTTTTTTTTGTATCTATCTAAATGCTGTATTTACACCCATGCATGTAGAATTAACCAATCTCTTTAAACCAACCTATTTAAAGTAGAGATGCAGTTTTTATTAAGGCTGATTTCATTACAGATTACAGTATTTTGACCAGTCTAACCAATCCTTCATATATGCTGCCAATGTTTTGAGCCAATTCTTTCTCTTCCTCAATTTACATGATCAAATGACAAGGTGATAAAAGTCAAAAGAGGTCATAAAGATTCAATTTTAAACCAGAAATGATCATTTGTATTTTAACAATGAACAGCAGATGAAGAGAGCCGCAATGAGTGTGCATGAGCTGATTTCAAGGCATGGCTTGACAAAATTTCTTTTTGTTTACACTTGTGTATACAAAATAAATCTGTCTTATTCTAATGGCTACTGAATGCACTAATGAATCGATATTACACTAATGCGATATTGGCCAAGTATATCTGCAGGACGATGTGTCAGTCTAGCTCTAGTCTGAAAACATAATGTTACGTAAAACTTCTCAAAAAGCAACTTTTCTGGCCTTATTTTTAAAAAGGTTCAAGAATAAATGAGAATGCTGTCTGTTAGGCTGGAGAGGATTACAAAGCCTTCAAATGTGGACATCAGTGCAGCAAGAGCAACAATGTTTATATGGAGGAGACATAGAAGAGTTTCAAGCCTATGAAATCAGTCCAAAATAGCTTTAATGACTCAGCCAAAGGGTCATAATAGACCCCAGTAAACATGGAAAGCCTTGCCTCAAAGACAGCTGAGGTTCATGATTGAACAATACAAGAGAAAAACAAAAAAAAACATACAGCAGAATAATTCAAAAGAAAACCAAAGAATCCCATTTTATATTTGCTAAAAGGTTTATTAATGATCTTCAAGAGTTTTGAGAAAATATCCTCCGTATTGCTAAGAGAAAAAATTAAAGTTACCCACAACATCGAGCTGCGTTCTGTTTCAGCACTTTAAAGATTAGCCAGAAGTGATGTAACCTTGAATAAAGCTCTCAAGCAGAGCATCTTACAAAAGAGAATTTCCAATCATCAGTTTTCTGACCTTAAACTTGATCACACTGTAATTCTTCAGCAGGTCAATGAACCAACACTTGCATTTCCCCCTGAGTGGCCAAGAAACATAAAAATTACAATCTTGAAGAGGCTTAGTAAAGATTTAGACTTACATCCATTTAATATGCAAGAATATTGCCTTGAAAGTTTGACTCACAATTTTGACTTAGCTTGACTTGACTTGAAAATAGCACTTGTTACCATCTAGAGTGACACAACCACCAGTTGAATTATTTTGTTTTAACTAAGAATTATTATTTTCAATTCAAAAATAACATTTTTTCTTATTGGAAAAATACTTCTTAATTTACTTATGTTCTCTTTGTCTGAAAATGTGTTAGATCTTTTGAAAAATAAAAAAATAAAAAAAACTTTAGAAAAATGTAGGCAACTACTACATTTTATATATACGCTCTATATATGTAAATATATATTTTTCCCCATATCCTGAAGCTTTTTTTAATTTATTATTCTATCTTTTTTTCATTCTAAGGTATCCAGACTATGAGTTCATCAGTGATAACTCCATCTCGTGGTCAGCAGGCCTTCATAACCGTTACACGGAGAACTCACTGAGAGGAGTTATCCTGGACATCCACTTCCTGTCTCAGACAGATTTCCTGGTCTGCACGTTTTCTTCCCAGGTGAGCTAACAGCTGTTCACACTGAGCAACGGCTTCAAATGGTCACTGTGTGAATTCAAATATGAAATTAAAAAGACTAAATATAATTTACTGAACCGTGAGAAAATGGAGAAATCTAAGTTAAGGTTGTATATTGCTTGAGAGGTAGGTGTTCCTTTACTACTGCAGGTAACGAATCCTCTTGCACTGTAGTATTTGTATTATGGTGCGTTCGCCCTGAATGCATTTTGGGCATCAAAGCATCTTTTTTACATGAAAGGCCTTTGGGACAGTGTCGAGAGGGCCAGAAGTGCATCCGAGCATCGGGAGAGGCGCATCCGGGTCTGAGCGCTCTGCTGTCCGAGCATCCGAGCGTTTGGTGCTGGAAGATACAAGGAAAGGACAGTTATTTTTCCAACTTACCAAAGTGAATAAAGCCAAGCTGCTCTTTAGCTTGTGGCTACAGAACAGAGGAGATAACTTAACCAGCATTTGACCCACTGTCCAAATTTCGGGGTTTATGCGTTTTTTGAAGCCCAAAACGCGGCCGGTGTGAACGCGCCTTTAGAAATTATACAGTTCTAAACAACTAAATAATTTAAAATTGTCTAGAGCTATATTTTATGTTTTTTCTAACCTTTGAGTACAAAGAGAATCAGATTATAATCTGGTTTTCAGGTAGCTTCCCTACATCTGTGGGACATTAACTTATAGATCATTCATTAGAAATGAGACCAGAGTAAACATTCCTTTATAGAACAATGGAAATGTCATGCAAGGCAAACGTCCCTCCTTAAATACAGAAAAAGATTTCACAGTTGAATGAAATGAAAACAAAGAGTTGTTTTCAAATTTGTCACAAGCCAAACTGGAACAGCTTCATTAAACAAACTCATGTGATTTCCAACAAGCCCATTGTTCTATTATTCCTCACATGTTTCAAAGCACAGAAACTGTTAACCCATTTACTACATCTTTGATGTCATATCGAATATTTGATTAGCTGGGATTGTAAAGGCATGAAGTATAAAAGCCTTATTTCACTGCTAAAGTTTTAGTGAAAACTTCTTAATTCCTGCTTACATCCCGCTTTATAAACCTACATCAAAGATCTTAACCAGAATGAGGTGCAAGGTTGTTTTATTGTGCATCTCTATCCTATAGCAAGGAATAAGGCTTTGTTGTTGCAGAGATATCACCACACTTAATCTTTTGAATTTTATTTTTAATTACAACCACAATCTTAAATGTATCATATTAGCATTTTATTTGGTGGATTTACAAAAAGCAGTCTGGATGGACGTATATAATAAAAATGTGATTACTTTTTTAATTTTTGTTGAACAAAAAAAACAAACTAACGGCATCCCTTTGTACTCTGTCAGCCTGAATCAATACCCTATATTTATAACTAGATTTCTTTTAAAACATCGATGCTTCATAAAGTATCAACAGTCAAAAGTTGTATCTGACTACAATAAAAAATTTTGCATATTTAGTGCATATTTTGCTATTGTGGATTTTAGATTTATATAATACCTTAGACAGCCTTATAATATTGGGAAATTTTAATATATTTAGGTTATGTATTTTGAATTTGTTTGCACAATTTTTTTTCATCTTGAGCTGATTTTTTTTTTACTTCTCCATAACTTTCTCCCTGATTTGGGTCAGTTTGTGTTCACGATGCTGTTTGTTTACTGATGTACAAACCTCGGTGGCCTTCGAGGAATAGATGGATTTACACTGAGATTAAATTAATTAAAGGGGTTAATAAAACTCTTATTAAAAAAAGATATCTCGATAAAACATTTTGACGTCTGTGGATGTAATTGACACATGTGGTCAAGTCCAAATGTTTATTTTTCTATCTGAAATAATCCCTATTGGGCTTTTTTTGCCAGGTTTGCCGTGTGGCCTATGAGATCATGCAGACGCTTCATCCGGACGCCTCCTCCTATTTCTACTCCCTAGATGACATCTACTACTTTGGAGGGCAGAATGCCCACAATCAGATCGCCATTTACCCACACCAGCCACGCAACAGCGAGGACATTCCCCTGGAGCCCGGTGATGTGATCGGCGTGGCCGGCAACCACTGGGACGGATACTCCAAAGGCATCAACCGGAAGCTGGGCCGCACCGGCCTCTACCCTTCATACAAAGTCAAGGAGAAAATTGAGACAGTGAAGTACCCACTTTACCCTGAGGCAGACAAACTGCTCAACTCTCAAAACAAGTAAAAAAAAGAGGATCATACGAGGAAAAAAAGAAGAATATGAAGAGACACAGTCTCCATTTCCAGGGAAGGAGGCTTCTTTTTTTGTACAGAAGAAAGAGGCGTAGTCGCTACTCTAAGCTGAGAAGAAAAGAAAAATCCTGCACCCAGGGGTGATAGGAACAAAATGCACTCTGTATGTATGTGTATGAGCAAGTTTGACTTTTCTTTCGTTGAACTTGAGTGGGTGTGTGTGTGTGAGAGTGTGTGTGCACTTTTGTAAATGCCTGTGCATATGTCAGGTCATGGAAGACTCGCACCCCTCTGCTCCCTCCTCCCCAGTGCCCCCACCTTGGCGTTCTGACGTCAGGTTTGTAGAGATACTTAGACGTGAACATTGATTTTTAAAACAAAGCAAGAGGAGAGAAAAAAAAACGATTAAGATCTCCACTTAAACGGACCGAGCCATCCGTCCTGAAACGAGACTGGGATTACTGTAAACCAGGCACACCCCTTTTGAGCTTCAAATCCCTGACTGAAGAAGCAAACAAACAAAAAAAAAAAACAATGACGTGTTTTGATTTTAATTTAATTATTTCCAGTGCTTTTGATTCTAATCTTGCCTTTTTTTCCCTCATGTATTTTTCTTTATCTATTGTTTACTGAATGTACTGTATCCTCTTGCCATGCTTCGTCATCTCACCATGCTTCCTCCATTTCATGTTATCATGTGCAATTAATTTTACAGAAACCACATTGTGCTTTTATCGAGTGTTTTAATGGTCTTAATTTTGTGTGTCTGGGGCTAATCTATTGTATTCTGTACAGTGAGTGTGTGTGTGAGGAAGAGTGAAAGGCAAATAGGAAGTGTTTGATCATGTGTGCCTGTGTGTGAGGTGCAAGTCTAAGGGGCCATGTCATGACCATGTGTCCGATTATTGGTTTTTTAATATTTGATTAAAGAGTTTACAGGAAATAGAGGCCCTCTGATTGGCTCTTAACACTTGGATGGAACCCTGAAAACCAGTCACTCCACTGCTAATATAACAAACAATGATAAGTTTGAGAATAGTGAACTACCTGAAAGTGCAGCGACACAGGAGCCGTCCAGGAGGCTCACATAAACATAGCACTCTGATGATGATTATGTCCTTTTTTGGCAGTATTGCCCTCTCCACCATTGTTTATTTCCTTTTTTTTTACTTTGCTTAAAAAAATAGGTGTTCGTTTTTTTTCAAGTGCTATTTCATATCAACCCTCCCCCCCCACCACCACCACCACCACTATGAAGGCTGTTTTCATAAATTATGTTCTTGGGCATTGTCTTTGATAACCACAAATCAAATAAACTTGAGAAACACATTTTCCTTCTGCTCTGAGCTTCTGCTTTACCTTCTGCAACCGTCCATGATTCCCTGTAATGGACTGGGGACGCGCCCAGAGCGGGCCCCACCTCTTACCTGGTGATTAATGAGTAGATTAAGCAGGTAATAAAATGTATAGTCCATTCATTTATCATGTTTATCCTTGGTTTCATCTTTTAAAATCTGTTTTTATTCTGAGAGCAGGTTCTTCTTGTTCTTTTTTCCCCAAAAAACCTAGTTAGCTATCAAGTAGATGCAGTCGATTTACTCAACATACAGCTATGTTGGTTCTGTAGTTAGCTAGATCTCAGAATCTATTGCATTTCATCCAGTATTAATAGGATGGTAACATTGAAGGGGAGAAACTAAAATATCCCATTCCCCATAAGACAGTTCACTTCATTGTGGATATTCTCACAACCAGTCAATATATATATGGTCCATTCAGCATATTTGGGGTCTGACCAGAGGTCTCCTACCAATGGGACTGGTGAAGAAAACCTTCAGAGAAAGTATTCCAATTAACTGCCCTTGATGCAGAAGAGCAGTGGCTCTACTTCAACCTTCATCCCATGGTGCAGCTCCTCTAAGCTACAGTCTAGCAGCATTAATGGAGAAATGACTTCATCATATTAGTCCATTTGCTACAATTTCTAGTGATACTTGAAGTCTTCTGCTTGAGGCGGAGCAGTCCAGCAGACTTTGAGGTGCTGACTCACATCATAGTAACTTCATTGTTTCCTGAAACAGGCCATGATGTGGAGACACAAACACACCACATCACCTGAAACAACTAAAAGCAGAGCCTTTTATTTAGAAAAAAAAATAAAGATTCTCCATGTGTGACATCCTATCTACAGTATAAATCCTAAAATCAGGATCAGACACAATAAAGAAGTCCTGATGGGGTCCAACCCTAATTGGCAACTAGACCAACTTCTGGCTTAATATTTGCTTTGTGTATGCAATGACTATACCCTAGTGCCCCATACACAACTCAGACAAATTTTCCAGATGGACTCACCAAAAATTCATGTGGAGCAGACACACAAAAGTAAAGAATCAATATAACCATGTACACCTCCTCCTTCAAAGGCTCCATGATTTGTCAGTTTTTTTCCACTCTAGAATAAAATCTCTCAGTGGAAAGCAGTGTGATACTTTAACAATTAGAACACAACCCTTTGTTAAAAGAAGTTAGAACCATGACTTCCAGTCTTGGACTGCCCTGGTGCCATCTCGAAGAGGCATGTCAACCTCAGCACCCTAACATCGTCCAGAACTGTTGGCATTCTTGAGTCAATCTGATTCACTTAGGGACCTGTCACTATGGACTTTTTAAACCACATGTGCAACCGTAACTATGATGACAGACTCTCTGTCTTCTCCATGGATGAGACATTTACTGCATTGAGGGGTGTCTGGTTTCCACCCCGTTTTATAGTATCAACCCATTTTATTTGCAGATGTCCTCAAGGGTGTCCATCTATTTTTTAGAAGTAAAAAGTCTTTATCTGAAGTTAATCTTTTGATTTTTTACACAAGAGAGGGACACAGGCATGAAAACCCCCTTTCATTAAAGCGTCAAAGGATTAGGTTTACAACATCAAAAAGTGCCACTAGTTAGGGTTGCAAATTGTGCAGGTAAGAAAGTGAAATGGGTTTTCCATCATTTCAAAGCCAAAACTCTTTAACATGTTGTGTATTTACATTTCAAACTGAGCGCCTTAACAGACACTTGCTTTTTTTAAGTATAGGATGTGACAGGTGAATGACATTTCTGCTTTACGTTCCAAAACGCTTCTCGCCATGTTCATAAAGCACCAGGAAAACTTCCTGCTGTCATTTAATGTCCCGTTTCCGACATCCTGCACTTCCCAGTCGTTTTTGATCTTGTTCAGTATGTCTTATTTATGGACTGTCTTGTTATTTTGTTACTCTAGGGTTCTTTTGGGGGAGTTTCATTACAGATCCCTCTTTAATTTTAACTGATCTGCATGCTTCATTGGATGCCCATAAGGAAAATCACAGAGCGGTCAGAGAAGATTAGCTTTTGGCGTGAGTGAGGAAGAATAATAGTTTTGTTTTGTTCCCACTTAGCTTCGATACACAATGTGTGACCAATTCCATCCATGTGACAAAGCATTCCCAATGTAGATGTAGCAATGAACATCTCTTTTCACTGGAAAAGCATCCCATGCGGGGTTTATAAATGCGCACACTAACTGGAGGGCACTTTAATTAAAATACACTCGTCGCTGTCATAGCAGCCTGTTACACTCATTTAAGAGAGACGTTAATTCAGTTAATTATTCTGTTAATTGGCCAGCGCTTCTGATAGAGAACACTCAGTTTCTCAACAGGCGGATTTCTTTCTTTGTTTTTCTGCTCTAATTAAAGCATTACTTGTTGAAAGCACATAAGCTATTTGTGGGCCTCCCACATTGAGTCATGGCTTAAAAGGGGAACCTTTTTTAGAGACATGTCAGAATGTTCAACTTCCCCCACTGGTTTGTTTCTAGTGTGTCATAAAGCAATACATGTCATAGATACCCAGAAATAGCAGGATGTTCTTTCTTCGCATTCTTACTGTGAAGCAATGTTTCTACCTTGGTTTCTCTCCACTTAGCTTTGTTTTTAGTCTGCTGTAATAAACTCAGAGACTCTCTAGAGAATACATTTGAATGGCAAGAACTGGTGTAAGGTGTGCACACATTGCTAAAACAAGATTAAAAGTTAGTGTATTGCTATTTTTTAAGATAGTGCTACTGTAGTTCCTCTAGCATTGTCACCTGTTACCATTTTATATTTTCCCCTGCACTCATTGCTTGGTTAGAAATACTTGCATCAAAAGTTAAGAAAATTAAAAAAAAGTTTATAATATATTTTTTTTAAGTTTTGTCTTAAACTATGTCTTGCCTGTTGTGCAGGATAAATTAACCAATTAACCACAGCTGAGTTTCATTTGCCACATCCAGAACTGTTGGAATAAAAAATAATAATAATACTGTGAATCAAACACCAGAAAGTGCTTCAATCTAATGAAACCAAACATGATGAAGAAATTCCGAATAATACAAACAGGTTAGGACACTAAATCCAAAGCGGTTCACCATTAAAAATGCTACTCAAATAGTTCTGGCAGTAAGAAAGGAGATAGGAAGAGGAAGCAGGATGCTTCCTAGTTAATTTAGTTTAGTTAATTTAGCACAGGGATCTCTTGACATTCCTGTCCATTGCATGGGAGCTATAGGGTTTCCCACAATCCATTGGGTGAAAGGACACAGGCCCACTTCATGGAGTTGATGAAAATGCATTATTTCTTCACATGTACTCTGTGACAAATGCAAATGTGCACACCTTTTTGGTTTTGGGTTTTACGTAAAATAGTTGTTCGCTTCATTTGTGTAACTTTCTGTTTTGTTTTTTTTAGTTCTTTTCTGGAAGGCTGTAGTCCCAATTTAGCAAGCATCATCCATGTGAGAGTCCGTTGCCAAGTGACATCAGCAAGGCTAAAAGCTGTCTGGATTCAGAAAAGCAATGCAGAATTCCTTTCCTGCCAGGGGACAGTGTTCTTCCCACTGACCACCTGAAAGGCAGAGTGATAGGAGCTAGGAACAGGAGGTAGGAGCTACAATTTGCACTATTCTGAAAAAGCCATGTTTTCCTGATAATGATCACATTATTAGACTGAGGTATACTGAAGCCGAGGTACATCTAAAAGGCGCAGTACACTGGACCTTAAAGGTATTGTGGAGTATTTTTTTTTAAAAGACCTGCCCTCTCTACTCTAAAAAAATGGACGTGCAAGAGTATGCACAAGCCCATTGCATGCACACCCTGTTTCAAATTTGCTGTTCTCATTTCTCATACAAGCTTACTGTGTCCACATACAGCGGGGACTATGCAGTGGACTTTATAGTCCACTTTATAGTCCACTGCATAGTCACTTGCTCACTGTTGGTCATGTAACTCCTCTTTCTCCCTGCAGTGCTTGTGTCATCAAAGCAAATCCCAGAATGCTTTGCGAGGAGAGCTCTCCGTGCAAAGCATTCTGTGAAATATCTGCCTGTTTTGAGGCCTTTCTTTTCTTCTCATACACTTCCTAGACATTTTTTCTCTTACAACCCTGTGCCATTTTCAAAGAACTGCGGTGAGAAAGGTGAGCTTAAATGACTGTCTGAAACCGTAGCTCATCAAGCATATGTGGTTGAAAGTGTGAATGCACAGAAAAAGATAGCTAACAGGATGAGCATGTAGGACGGCCTTACATAAACATATCACCAGAATGATTGACAATAAGGAGGACCACTTATTTTGATCCACTGGGAAATAAAAGATTGTCCTCTATACCTTTGAGTACTATAATTGAAGAACCTTTGATTGCAAGCTCACTTCCCTCAGCCATGGTCAGTTTTATGGTCTTATTTAAAAGAAAGTGAGAAAACTATGCCATCCATGATCAGCAAGGACGACTACTGCCAACCATGAAAAGCACAGCTCATATAAATCTCTTGATGGTCCCCAGGACCTTTGGGAAAACAGTATGTTGTGTAATATCAACAAAGATGAAAGGGAAAGTTTTTTGGGAGTACATCCTGCTATGCACATCAGTCCATCAGAGTGTAATCTTCAGCTCAAACACACTTGGGGGATACTGTAATGCAACACAATAATCCAAAGCACAACAGTAAGCTTACCCCCTGCACATAAAAAATCCTGGGAGTAAGGTGGGAACCAGCAGAATGAGTAATCTACTGTTTTTACCTGGTGGTATACAAAGTGGATATTAAAAACACATGTTGGGCAATCTATTAGATTGACACAAGAACCATTTTACACAGCAAACTTGAGCCATTTTTCTTAACCCTGGTCCTCAAGGCACCTGGCCTGCATGTTTTATATGTTTATCTGATAAAACAAGCTGGGAAACATCTAAAACATGCAGAATGATGAGCCTTAAGGATCTGGGTTGAAAACACTGCTCTGTGGTACCTC